TGAGTCATGTTGACTGGCTGGCTGGCTTGTGTGCTATATCTATTTAAAACGGTCTTAAAATTCTACTTGTTATTTCAGAGACATTTTCTCTTATATACTTGGTAGGATGAATTTTCCTGTGACATTTGATGATGATAATGGTTTCTTTTTGTCGGTGTTATAAATCGAGTTTAAACACTTTCTGATGAAACTGTGAGGAGGATATGCATTCTTTTTGAAGACGGTTGTTAGTAGGTATTTCTCCTCCATTCTCTTCAACAAACACACGAGTAGTGCTACAGTGTGTGTTTGATCTCTTTTAAACAATGTCTGCACACATTTTCTTCTGTAGGTGACTGGGTAACAATTGCATCATTCATGGAGAATTGAAATCACTGAAGAGGGATGTTGTCTAGAAGACGGACGACGGCAGCTTCGCAATTAATTCATCAACCAGCTCAGAGAACACAACCAATCATTCAATATCATCCACCTGGGCTACAAATCTTCTCAATTATTTCAATGTTCAACATTAGAAACCACTAAGAATATTTCATTCTTTACGCCATTCAAGGAGGAATATTCAGTTTGGATAGTGTTGGATTAGACAATGGAGATTATCTGAAAATGTGTGATGTGATGTATTTGCGCCATCCTCGTTTTGAACAACAATCTGATCCGCTACACATTTTCTTATCAAGTCGACATGTATAAAAAATAATTAAGGACACTTGAAATAAACAAAGTGACAATAAAAAAGGAATTAAGAATAATAAGAATAATTAACACTACATGTGGTTATCTAATCTGATAAGGATTATCAATGTAGGTTAAGAGTAATAACAAATCGTGTCTGTACACACAGGGAGTAGGCTTAAGTTAACGAATAGCTAATCGCCTCAGCATATTTCAATCAGCGCCCTTGACCGTGTTTATAGATGACCTTAAAGGCTATGTTAACATCAGTCTTATAGTTCATGTCGATTAGATGTTTGGCTGTATACGAAGTTGGTAGTCAGCCACCTCCATCTATTGATTTTCCACAATTTATTTGTCTTTATAACCATTTTGGGATGTACTCGCTGTCCCATCCTCACATGCAAAGCACGATTACTCACGTAAACTGGTAAATAGTGTGGAATGTGACATAATCACTTGTGCACTTTTGACGTTTGTAGTGGAACTTACTTTTAGCTTCCTCGATAATTACAAGTCAAGTTGCATAATAAGTTCTACGGATGATCGAATTCAACCTCTATCTCAAAATCCTACTGTTTATTTCCCCATTATATGGTAATTTGATAAAATGTTTTTCCTGGGGGCGGTACAGACTGTAGGTTTAAAGACTAAATGACTTCTACACCTGTTTGCAAATGTTAGAAGATATTCATTTTCAACAAGAGTATCCATCAATATTTCCTTTTCTTTCTCTATAATATCAGCCGTGAAAATATGCTGAATCCTCTTGAATAAGCACTTCACAATGTCTTTCTTAAACTGTAATGGGGAGAAGCTCTGGAAATTAAGATAATGCACTGTCCAAGTAGGAGTATTATGTAGTCTAGCTGATCTAATGTGCGTCGGTGGCAAAGTGGTAGAATGCTCGCCAACCACACAGGTGGTTCAGGGTTTGATCCCTGGCCACAAACGCACTCTTTTATATCACCAATCCAGCAATAAGACTGGTAAAGAGGGAAGGTTGGTCTGAGCATGAGGCTGGCAACCCCATCACGTAAAAATCATAAAATAACACTGTTACTGAAACTTCAATGCTGTAGCTTGAAGGCGCCCTATGTTCCACTGAGTGGAACGTAAAAGGAATAGAAGAAATCTCTGATGTAGTGCTTTACAATTTCACTAGAAGGTGATTATGTGTTAGACTGTTATTTCAGTACAACCTGTCCTGCTTTTATTTAACTCTTTCGACTTTATAATCATAGATCCTCTTTCTAAATACACATTTGTAAACAAGTTGCTTATTCGAAGTGTTTATCTATTTTGATAACTGAACTTATTGTAAGACTGTCTGATTTCTAATTCATTGAAAGTATTAATACTCTCATTATTTCCTACATTTATTCCCCTTGGTGAAAGTTTGAATAAAGCAAGAACAACAACAAAAGTGGTTTGTGCAGAATAAGAAGATGGCACCGTCATTGTTTATTTCGTCGGCCTCTCATCAGCCCAGCTGCTTACAGCCTTAATAAATAATTATTCAGTTCACGTACAGAAAGGTTTTATCATATTTTGCAAATTTTAAATGATGTCAGTTGACAAGAGATTCTAGAATTAGTGAACGATACTCAGAAAATTACGCTTGTATGATTTTTGCACAAGCAGTTGAAGTTTTAAAATAATCTACGCATGCGTCGGTGGCATAGCGGTTAAGACGCTCACCTACCATGCACATGTTCCGGGGTTCGATCTTCGGCCACCGACGCACTCCTTTACCTCACCAAGCCAGAAATAAAGCTGGTGAAGGAGAAAGGTTGGGCATGAAGCTAGCAACCCCATCCTGTAAAATAAACACTACTACAGAAACTTCATGCCTCTTGCTTGAAGCGCTGTGTTCCACTGGGAACGTGAAGGAAATAAAAAAGCATACATATAATGATAATGGATTTGCGTAATAAAGACGAGGGTTGCATAAGATGCTGACTGATTAATAAACTGGGTAACAATATACTGAATTCAACTCAAATCATAGAAAGAAGAGACAAGTAAAATTACACTATATCAACGTGGGGCAGGGGAGGTTGGAGCCAAAGATTACATTATAAATGAAAGAAAGAGAGAATTAAGACAGTCAGTTACCAGGCAGCAGGGCAAGGAAACACTGATAACTGCTTCTTCCTGAACGCATAAATCGGGTTTCAGGCGTCTGAAAGAAATTTCTTCGGCAAACCTGAGGAGAATTGAGCTTTCTCTTTTCTAGTGATTATTTTAAAGGATTTTGCGACTTCCACCTCATGACCCGTATAGCGGAGATGTCTGGTAATGGAACTATTGTCAGCGGTTTTTTCCAATGAGACGTAGGCTTTCCGGTACATCTTCAGTAATTACAGAATTTCCTGTCAACTGACATCATGTAAAATTTGCAAGTATGTTAAATCTTTCCTGTACGTGAACTTAATAATTATTTATTTAGGCTGTAAGCAGCTCAGCTGATGAGAAGCCAACGAAATAAACAATGATGTTACCATCCTCTTATTCTGCACAAACCACTGTTGCTCTTCTTGCTTTATTCAAACTTTCATCATTCTTCTAAAAAGGATATACAACAATAGGTTGCTGTTCTCACATCCAACTTTCCCTCTTTCGTGGGGTCCACTTTAAGCCAATAAACTAGGTGAGGTTAAGAAGCATGTTGGCCTAGGAATGAATTCATACTTCATGCCAGTGACTGCCGAACGTCTTATCACTGATTCATCGATGCTTAAACCATATTATGGACTCAAATAATTTCTCCTCATATAGCTTCTCACTTCTCAATGAATCGACTGTATCCGACGCTAATGTAAACGATCCGAAGATAAACATTTCTCTCGTTAATTAGTTTTCTCAAGTGTTAGTCTTCAGGATTTTAATTGGGTACAGGTTTGACCACGAGTTCAAGTCAGTTAGAGAAGCATAGGAAAACCACAGAGCAGTGGACAACAATTTCGTCCTAGTTTTGGACTCTTCACCAGTAAAATCTCTCTGGAATTAGAACTCAAGTCCTTCCGGTTACAAGTGCAACTCGCTGACAATGTAGCCGCTGGAAATCTATCCAATGGTCCATGAATTCCCCATTCTGCCAACTGTGATCGAACTTCCAAACAATCAAATTCCTGCAAATCAACGCTCAACAGTTAATCACGTGCACACTAGGTCGCTGGCTGTATGCAAGAAATTACTCGGGGTTATAGTGAGAACTCGTAACCAACGCCATCTACCAAATCAGGTAAGAGAACAGTTAATCACCTATAGTAACGACTGGTGGTTGACGTATATAAACATAAAACAAACTGACAGAAGTTGGAATTCATGTTGACATGCAAAGATTTCCGTGCAATCAAGCAACGAAGAAATCACAACTGTATCAAAAACTGTATCAAACAAAAACAAACAATCATATCAAGTAACTGGATATGATTATGAGCAATAATTTGTGCTTGAAACGTCATCAGTTAATATTACTGTATAACACTGCGTGATTTATCAAAATAAAATCTTATGTATAGTGGAGCAACAAGATTCGAATTTTCATCACCAATATCAAGTCAGTCAGTGTTTTTATATTATTCAGAGACTTGGCGCGTCACGAAAAGTATTTCCAATTGGGCACTTGCAGACTTTCATCAACAGCTACCTTCACTGGCTCCACTCTGAGAGTCGTATGGCCGACCAGAAACAATTAACAACAAGGAACTGTGGAAACAAACTAACCTGTTACTCAACAACTATGACGAAGGAACTCGAGATGCATCGGACACAGGTTAACGATGAATATCAATGATATTTAGTTATATCATAGTAATAGCTTACTGCACACTACTATGCATACTGATGAAATGTTCAACGCGCATTCTAACATCCTTTAAGAAACATTAAAATTGACAATACCATTCGACTGATGAAAGCTTGATTGGCCGGAACACTCTCATTACATACAATACTCAAAAGAAACAATACCATTTTAATTCACTATCATATATTATTGATTTACTTTTATTTCAAAAAAGGAGATATACGTATATATAAGAGACATCTACAAAACACAGGCTGAGTTAAAAAGTATGCTGGAATATTATGATGTAATCAGAGATTATGGGCACATGTTCTCTTGTCAATATATATATGAAGAGTACTAGAATATATGTATAAAATAATTATAGGCCAACAGCTACATTGTAATACTGTCTATTGAATGACCACAAACTCAAATACCAATGACAATGGAGAAATTTCATGAGTAATGTCATACTTTATTGTGTTTTTGAGCCCAATGAGCATTTGTCCGGATCGATATATTATCATCATTATGATGACGATGAACTTTCTTGACCTTCATCTATGCACGGCACCACACAAACAGTTGTATTCGCATGATGTACAACATAATCACTTACACTGCCCATAATTGTACGTTTGATAGCACCAAGTCCACGATTTCCAATAATCAATAAATGTGCATTATATTTTTCAGCTTTTTGTATTATAGCTGAACCAATATGATCAACAGGTTCATATAGGAATTGATATGTCAGATTATGACTTAAACAGTCTGCACTATAATCTTTTTCTAGTTCAAGTACACGTTTCAAATTATTTTGTACAATATTTGACCATTCATCACTTGGTAGACCCATTGGATTTGAAAAAGAAATAGTTGGTAGTGAAACTGGTTCTACAGCATGAAATATTGTCACTGCATCATCAGGTCTTTGTATCCATTTTAAATAATATTGAAAGGCTTTTTTTGAATGCTCAGATCCATCGACAGCGATTAACACAGAACGTGAACCAATTGATGGTACTTTAGAGAATCCTGATGGTCTTCTATCCATGTTGTGAATGATAGAATCGAGGAAAAATGTAAAAAAAATGAAGGTGGGCTTCGTCTATATATATATTATCAAAATAAACAACAATTCACGTCAGATTTAATAGATGTCGATTATTATTTTTTTCTACCAATCAAATTTGAATTGACCTTAAAACAACTAGAATATGATTGGATAATCACTTGTTTATCAGATTGTAACCGAATTCCTGATTGGTTAACAAGCTTTTAGGGCGGGAATGCATATAATATATAATGTATCACGTGACAAAGAAAGTTTCCTTACAACCGGAAATTAATTTTCTCTTCCCAATAAAAATAAAAATAATTTTGGAAAATAATCTAATCGATAAGAGTAAAGAAAAATAGCAATGCAGATTTTATTACTCTATACATATATACACACACACGAAATAAACGAAAATATTTTTGCCATCATTTTTGAATGTTATTGTCCTATTACACTTTTACTAAACATTGAATGCCGAAGGCTAAAACTAATCATAATATTTATGGGTTTGTTAGGAATTTAGATTAGCTTCAAGGTAGATCTTATCGTAGATCGATATTCATTTGAACAGTTTAAAAAGGATTACGGCAATTTAAAACAGTTAGTTCCCTTTATGAATTAAGATAAAGCAATAAGAAGACGTAATTTGTCTGAATTGTGTTTTGTATGCATCTGCGCAACACATCTCGAACAATCTGATCCAGCGCACACGGACTCGTCATAGAAATATATATGGAAATAATAAATAGTTAAGAGATGAGAAAATAGACAAGTTAGGTCAAGTTAAAAGGACATATCGCAGGTCAGAATAACAATGTAGGTCAATCACTAAACCAAATAACAGAGGTAATAGTGCATCTACCCTTGTTGGTATCAAAACAAAGTTTACCTAGGAACGTTTAATGTGATGACGAATTGTTTTTGAACGCAGAGAGGTGGTTTAAACTTTCTAATTACCTGCTAGGCCTTCCAAAAACTTTAGGATACACCCTCTCCCAAACACGTTTTATGGATGGATAGGTTTATAAGATCTGTAGAAGAGGAAGATAACTGTTTATCTTTCCCAGACATATTGCTTAGTCGACAGCTTGATGCGTCAATAAAAAGATCTATTTATAGAAAACTTACCTAGGCAGGACAGTATCGTAATTACTGCAGTTTCTACCCTGTTTGGTAAAAAAGAGCCTTAGTAAGGTACCTCTTCAGTAGATTCCAACGAATATGCACTGAAGACACACGTGATGAAGAGGAAATAAAGTTGACACAAACTCTGGTTGATAACAATTATCCAGACAAGTTCATCAGGAGATATAAAGTAGTCAGAACACCAAGACCCATTCTCCAAATCGCCACTAAGAAAGACGTGTACATCAAGCTACCGTATATGGGGCATCACAGCAGCTTGATAACTAGGCAGAGACTGAACGCTGCTGTTAAAAAAACTTTGTTATCATCATAATTGAGAATGTGAAGCCACTATATCCATCCATCTAAGCCCTTCGAACATGCGAAAAATGATGTTACATCTTACTGTATTTACCAATTTGAATGTACGTGTGGACACACATACATAGGAAGGACTCATCGATCTCTGCAAGTAAAGGCTGGCTTCAGAGTATATTCCTAAATGGCTCTAGAAACAAATGCAGTCTTCAGGACCCATTAATGGTGAGAATAGGAGACCTAGCTCCTCTATTGTGAAACATATTATAGAGACAGGACATAAAATTGACGTTTACACATCTTTTAAACCTATCCATTCATAAAACGCGTTTGGTGGAGGGCGTATCCTAAAGTTTATGAAAGCCCTGGCTGGCAATTAGAAAGTTTAAACCACCTTTATGCGTTGAAAGCAACAATTCGTCATCACACTAAACCCCCTTCCTTGGTAAACTTTGTTTTGATACCAACAAGGGTAGATGTACTATTATCTCTGCTATTTGGTTTAGTGATTGGTCTTCATTGTTATTCTGACCTTGAATATGTCCTTTTAACTTGACCTAACTTGTCTATTTTCTCACCTCTTAACTCTTTATTAATTTCATATATATACAATCCTATGACAAGTCCATGTGTGCTGGATCTGAATGTTCGAAATGTGTTGCGCAAATACATTACAAGGCGCTTCAGACAAATTACGTCTTCTTATATTGCATTAAGGCAATTCTGTATATGAGAATCGTTAGATTAAGGCAAAAGACATACCAATTGTTTGTTTGCAGGGATTTGATTGGTGGCAGATTTCTTCATGGGTTGACATCAGTTAGTGGACCAGTAGTAAACTATCAGGGAGTACTGGACAGCTGTTTATCCCTAGTTTGGGACTGACGCTTAAACAGTACCCACCAACCCACCCACCAGGGTTCGAAATCAACTAGCGCTATATAGGAAGATATCTGGAGTTCTTGTAATGGGTCATAATCAGAGGAGTCCATGAAGTCAAGTAAGAGAAAGATTAGTCGATGATGACAATGACTCGCGGGTGCGCTAAACACAGCAAATTAGCAGAAGCTGGAATTCACGAGCCATTGAAGCGGCTCTAGGAGTCTGATTGGTGGTTTGAATTCTGCTACGTTTATCAATTCTCAGTGATCTGTTGCCAACAACGTCTGCTTTAAATTCTCAAATGATAATATTGACTGTATAACTGTTAAATGTCGACCTAAACACCTGTCTAAGTACAACTTCATTTTTATCACGAACATTTATGTCACACCTTGTTGTAGCACTTCAGAACTATCTATGTTTGCTGATGAATTCACTATTTTCGCTGCCGCCTCTTTTGATAACTCCCTGTCCATAGTGATAGGTGATTTTAATTCTTGTGACTGCGGCTTTCTTACAGTGCTAGGTCTTGAAAATGTCGTTAACTTTCCCACCCGACTGGCTACTTCTCCTGATCTTGTACTTATAAATGACTGCAGAATATACGAAGCTCGTAAAGAGACCAACTGTTTAACTCAGATAATTGTATTGTACGGGTTTTACCCTAAATTTATGGGAAGTTACACAAGAGAACTTTTTCTCACCTTTCCAAGAAAATTGTACATCCATGTTACTCTAAGTAGAATGTTCAGAATCTTAGAAGAATGCTCAAAGACACAAGGTGGGTCTTGTTTGATTAAGAATCTCTTGTTGACACTATCTCTAATATTACATGTTATCTCAAATTTTGCATTTCCCCTCAGCATGCTGCTATATCAACAGAACATTAGATTCAATAATCTATAACATGCTAAAATCTCCAAACTGAATCGACAATACTGTTTGAAAAAAAACACTATTAATAATATATTTATTATTCTCATTTTGTACTTCGAATATTTTTGACTTTATATCGTAAATGTGGACAAATTCCTCTGGTTAATTTTGTTTTAATTTTTAATTTGATTAATATTTTGAGTAAATCAGATGCAAGGTGTTGTGACAAATGCTGAGAATTCCATTCTGTATTATAAGTAGTGCTGTTTTTGGAATAAAGTAGATTATTATTAATAAAAATATTATTATTAGTTTTTAGCGGGAAGCCAATTTGAACTGTGCGGTCCGTAAACGATTAATTTAAAACACACGTATGCTTAGATTTCAACATGGCGCTAAAACGATACAGGTTCGGGAAAAACGATAAAAAGCAGAAATATGAGGCAGAAAGATTAGTAACTAGGAAAAACATGGAAGTGGAGAGGGAATTGATCTCAGCCATCGAAAACAGTTTTGAGACATATCAATAACAGTCGCAGGCCATTGGTTCTTACAACCCCGAGAACCCCAAACAAGCAGTTTACACTTCCCTACATTGCTGGCTTAAACCGAGTGTCAAAGACTTCATTGATTGGTACCCGATTTTGCTTTGATCACCACTAACTCTTTTCCAACCTGATCCATCTTATGTCAGCTAATATTACCCTGTCGAGGAAGGCGGTGGCATGGCATGCACAACAGTTGTTTTAGCCTTCTGAATCATTGTGGATTCATGGCCCTATTAATTGATTTATCTTCCTTTCATAGTATTCTATCCTCTAAATAATTGAGTTTATAAATGTAATCAGTGCTCCAGTTGAACATCATTTCACAATAAAGATCTTTCGTTTATTTCATTTAGTCAGATATAACTGTTATAACTCCGTTGCTAATTTGTTATAACTGAGCTGAAGTGAATAGGTCCGCTGATACTTATTTATGTCTACACCTGTTAATTACTATCACGGGCCAAGTTAAGCTTTAAGCACCACTAACTACCAATCAGCAAACGACCTCGAATAGTCCAATGAGGTTCATGCACGTGAGTTCAAGGTTGTACAGCGCTTGATTCGTTTCAAATGCGTGCTCTAGCGAACTTACGCTTGCAGTTCGATGAGGATAAGGTTTCGCAGTATTGCCTGGATTTAGGGTTGCTTAGGAAGGAGAGAACTTGTTCATGTGGAAGTGTCATGAATTTAAAAAGCTTTAGCTGGTCGATTGATGGATATATCCACTGTTGTGCAACTTGTTTTAGACGAGTTAGTATTAGGGAAGTTAAGCTGATATTTTTAATATGTCGTAGGAACATTTTTTGCTAGGTCGCATCCCTCCCCAACCCAGATTTTGTATATTTGTAATCACTGGGTTTTAAAACAGCCTGTCAAAGGCGCAGCTGCTGGAACCGAAAATAGCCTCGTGTCAACAGTTCAGTGTGGTACCCGCAATGCAGAGACATCGCCTCATGGAAAATGGAGAGAACTACTTCGCTGTTGGGGGGAGACGGTATCGTCGTGCACGTGCATGAAGCTGTGTTACTGAAGAAAAAATACAACCGTGGTCGTGAGCGAGCCAACAATGTTTGGGTGATTGGTTTATATGACACCTGCCTACGGAAAGGATTTGTGGAGAGAATACCAGACAGAAAGTCAACTACTTTAATACCTATTATTACTAGACTTGTGAAACAGGGATCCATAGTACATACTGATGAATGGAAAGGTTATAACTCGCTGTCATCTCTTGGATATATTCAT